GACGTGAGGAAGGTAGGTCATGAGAAACGTCGGAGCCCAAGCATGCAGCTAGATCTCAGTGATATCCAGGGTGGGACCCACCAGGGATGTGGTTCAAGCTTTGGGTGGGGCAGGTTCTGAGTTCAGGAAGATAACACTGGGCAAAAGAGAGATCTTCCCCCAGGATAACATTGGTGATGGAGAAATGAAAGAAATTGGGTTAATTTTAGAAAAAGAGGGAGGGACCCCTTTTTTCCTATTAAAAGGGACCCCCCTGTCTCCCCGATCAGGCGCTTCCCTTGGAGAGCTGGAGGAGGAAACTTTGAGGACCCTTGTTCTACATGGTAAGGTCTATCATCTGGTTGCTTTCTACAGGCTAAGTAAAACTGGTCCTGATCTTTTCCAGGTGAATTATGGGTGGGCGGAAGAAATGGTGCAAGTGTGTCTTAATACTGATGATGAAAAAGAAGAAGAAGAATATGCGCTATCCAGTGTGTTCTGCCTTATGGCATCATCTTTTCAAGGTTTTCCAGGCAGAGAATATTCAGAAGTGGTTCCCCTTTCTCTTCTTCTGGGTGGGTGCAGCTGGGCCCCCAAGGCCACCCAGGGTGGCTCTTCTCCCCCCCGCCCCGGGAGGGTACACAGTGGGGGATTTGAACTCCCAACTCAGAGAATAAAACCCCTGAACTATCCAGCTGGACAACCGGTGAGCCAAGTCAGTGGAAGTGATCCCTTCAAATGTGTGTCTTTGGGGCTTGTAAACAGACCTTTAAGCTGAATTTCTATTAAAGGAGAGACGGGAGGGGGTTGCAGGATGTGTACCCCGGGATCTATTTATGAACCCCCATCCACCAGAGCAAACAGCAGGGCTGTCACTAGACGTGGGGGCACCGTCCTTTCCCCTCGCTTTCTGCCCCTGTAGCCGTAGGCCTGAGTTCCCACCAAGACAGGCCAGATGGGGTCCTCTCTCCAAGGAAGAAAAAGCTCTGGCTGTCAACGCTGGGCATGAAGAAGGGCAGGAGAGGCCGATGGTTTCAAATCTAAAATCTGGCACCAGGGAGGAAAAATCTGGTTGTCTCCCTGACCTTGGATAGTACCTGCCCAGAATTGGGGATGATTGGACTCCGAGTTCCTGATCTGGGCTTATTTCACAAGCAAAGCTAATGGGAAGAGTTAGCAGGGATGCCCAGGGAATATCCAGGCAAAGGTTTCTATCCTAAAGCTGCATGTTTCGTAGCTGCCGGTCAGAGCTGGCAATATAAGTCTTGGGGGCATCAAAGAACTGACTC